CATTCTACCTTGCTGATGCGCCAGTATGTCGAAGGCTATGATACTCCCTAAGGAATGACCGACGATGTTTACTTTCCCGTCGAAATTGGGGTGTCGCAGCGTGAATAGCTGGTACACTCGGTTCAGTTCTTTCGCTACTGTATCTGCTATCGTCTGCATGTGGGATAGCAATAAGAAGTCAAACCTGTGAGTCAGTGCACTGCCGCTGCCAACTGTATACAGCAACAACTATCCCCCTGGCATACTTACGAGCGTCTATGAGTTCAAAACGACCGATAAATATATCAACCACACATACTGACGTGTCAGCATACATCTATGGCTCCACATAGGGCGATATATGACAGCTGGGGACTCTACGAAAAGGCAATCTCGGTTTTGAATCTATCGGAAAGACATGAAAGGTGCATGTTCAGACTAGAAGATCGTTGACTTACCTGGCAATAATGTGGACTGGTGAAGTACAGCACATCTAGTACCGTTGTATTCACAAACTCGCGCAGCATCCTGATGCTCTGCAAGGAAATGGCTGTATGATAAGGAGATGAGAATCACGGTGAGATCGTAGTGTCTGTATGTTTAACGTAAGGACTCAATTTGACTAGTATCTTTAGGGTATCAGATAACCTGTAGCACGGTTCAGTGGTTTCTCTCGATCGCTAATTGTTGTGTAGCCGCGCCCGGAACTCGACGCAGCTACCTCTGCTATCTAATGGCAATGTCACCATTTAATATGTACAAGCAACCAGTACAGTTGTCGGGTCAACTCTCACGTACAGCTAGAGACAACATACCATTTATCTTCGCATCCACCCCTGTGTTTGAGTGTAGCGAGGAGTGCCACATGATTGGCAGATACTCTGCCACCGGCACAGGATCGCCTCCTTCATCTAGTGCATTTTTGCGCAGTCTCCTAGAGGACGTACGCATGCTTCTCGTAGCTTGTACCAGATCTCGTTGCTAAAAGTGGCACAGATACAGGGTATTGCATCAGTGTTTATGTTGATATACTGCAATATACTTTGGGGCACTAAATTCATGAAGAACCTCACATTTATATACTAACTGCCAACGTGTTATTATCTTACTAGGCACTCTTCGCATATCATTCGACTATTCTCGTTCATCTGTGATGCCGTGAGAGGTGAGTTAAGTATGTACTCAACAGACAAATCAAACAGTGCCGGAGATTATGATCAAGCGCAAAGAGCGTAGATCATACATGACGCACAAATAAGAGTTTAAACATGTGTATAGTGAACTAAAAGTAAACACAAGCTTTAATTGCTGAGTAAGACAAAAAATTAACACAACTAGGAACTCCTTGATATCCGTATCAGGAATTCGGAGCGAATTAATTTGGTAGACACACACAAATGACCGCATGCAATCACACAAGTACAAGGCTTTTTAAACCCTAATTTCCTCTCACTCTGCATCCTTTTCCATCTCGTGTAATCTACAAATATAATATGTTACCAGCCTACCTTCAGATCCACATGATACAAACCTACCTTCAGATCCACCTTATTTCCAATCCCATGTACCACCAGATATAAATGATCAGGGGGCCCCTCTCCCGCGTCAAATACGATGCTGCATGATTGTGTTGCAGTACAGATATGAGTATGCTGCATAATTGTGTTGCAGCACGAATATGAGTAAACTTTGCAGCAAACCAAGGTAAGCGGAGTGTACGATTATTGACAGATGATGGGCAATGCGACAGAGGCTTCACCAGAACGCATCTATGAAGCTCAGCAGTGTCGGGTGTATACGGCTGGTCTATACTTAGTTTGAGGCGAGCTAACTGTAGTCCACATGGTCAAACTAAACTGGAAAACGCCAGTTGACAACATCAGTAGTTGGGAGAATCAGATACCGTAAAATTTGGACAACTGAACCGTAGACATAGAAAAACAGTAGGATAAGCAAAATCCTTATACTTACGAATCGAACCCCCTGACAGCCATGAATGGCTCCTTAGGTGATTCTCCACTGTTGTCCTGATGCCCGTATATTTCTATGGCAGCCGCTTCTGACTACCAAAATATAAACAAATAGATTAAGGCTTTTAAAAGGAATAGTCGGAGACCAACGAGCATCAAAATAATGGGCAACCGGCTATTAGTGTACACAGATGTACAAATGATAAGGGCCCCTTACATGCAATATTGTACTTACTACATTCTACTATGTGAAAGCAAGTGTGGTACCATGCTCCCACAATCATATAAACGACATAGACATAGACAACAGGGCCCGATTTCGATACAACACACCTTATTGTAATGTACCGCAACGGTGGGGGAGAACATAACCACCAGATCGCCAGCAGGTGTGACGATCCTGCGATTCCAAGTATCTGTGCGATAGGCTTGTGTATACTCTCTCTCAAGCAACTCTCCGACTTCCTCGGGGTAAGGCTTCATGGCACCGTTCATGTGCTTCTTCATCCACGAACACCTGCGCAATACAATGAGAAAGATCGACAATGAGGCGATCGAGTTGAGATACCTATCACTGCAGACGGCTAACACAAGCACCGGTCAATGTCTACATTGATATCCACGAATTTCTTAAACTATATAAGCATAAAAAAAACTATATATCATTCAAAACTGAACGATTGTTCGTGTAGGTTGCCCCTCTTTCCCACACATTTTTTTTTGATATCCCTAGTAGTTGCATGGCAGGATACCCCATGGTGTTGATGTATACCCTTCGAAACTGCTTCCGAGTGGACATCGCGATACCATCAGCTGGTACAACTATACAAGCCTAAAAGATGTACCACACATCCGACCCAATATACCAGTGATTTAATCATCACCGATCTGAGAAAAGTGAAGCTTGTATAACTACCTAGAGTTATATCGTCTAGACAGCCTCCGTTCGCACTGCATCGACATACCTTGCAATCTCCATGGCATCCTCCATCCAATAGACAGCTTGCATCTTACGCTTAGACAAAAACGCGTCGTACCTGCCACCGTTCACAGGAACCACCACATCGCCTAAGAAAGGTATGCAAACGAGGGGCCAGCAGCATTGATATAAGTGGCTTTACATCACGATGGCGCGGGACGAGATCCCAGATATGGCGTTGTAGACATGCGCGCACAAAACAAACATTCGAGAGTGTTTGGTACGTGTATAGGTATATGTATGAATGACACTAGACCTATATTGAACTGTTGAGGTAAATTCTATTCATGTTCAAGTTCACGGACATGCTCATTACTGTACACAACGAATACGAACCCGTTATCGCTGACGCTGCCACACTCTCGTGGTGGGCTTTCTCGAGCGCGTCGTTGTCTAGTATCGAGAAGGCCGTCCAGCCTTTCGTTTCATAGTGCTTATAGAACCAGTGCGTAGCGGGCTACAAGAGGTACAAATATGTGTGAGAAATTAGTAACCGTGAAAGAGATCCCATGGAACCGAGCGGAAATGTTTGCCCAGAAAGTCATACCGCAATGAAAGCCTCGCGAGCCATACCGTAAACATGTTGAACCACTCCGGGAATAAGTGCGACGCAGTGATAATCTACATGTGCACAAACACAATCACTCCAATTTAATCGTAAGCCACAGAATCAACTTCACTACTACTGATATCTCAGATCGATACGAACGTCTGACTGTGCCCTTGTTGTTTGACTTCATCACAAAATAGTATCGAGGACGGTAGCCTTCAAGGCAAGCACATATCAAGTCAGAATGTTCTGAACCCTTCAGAATAGGATGATGCACACTCAATCGTACAAAAGGTAAAGAGGTATGGCAGTCATGGATGACCACAGACAGTCCCAGCAATGCGAAGGCGGACTTCTATCAGGGCATAGTCACAACTGACAGCTCGAAGTATAATTGAGAACATGCATCTACACATAATTGAGACGGTCGCGAGCAAGACCAATTCTCCATTATAGAACCATATGTATTGAAGTGAGGAATAGCAAAAGTACTAATACACGTTGATAGATTTCTTTTTCTGTTATTTACTACACAATAAAATGTGCTAGGAGTACGCAGAGTGAATAGAGAATCAATTTTGAAAAGGGTCATACCGGTGAAAAGGCTGCTTGAGGATCCTCGTTACTTTGCATCTTATTGAAATTCAAGCTGCCTCTTCCAGTCGGGACGGTGCTGATACCTACACCCTGGTCGTAGGGTACATCTGATTGGTAGTTGTTGATAGTATTTCCTGGTGCAGCCATTGCATCAAACGCCGAAGGCTGCTGTGGAGCCGTGTATGCATTTGGGTTGTAAAACTGTGATCGTTCTTGAGAGGGTTCCTATATTTGGGGTATTGATAGAAAGGAAGCGTTGATTAGAACATATTTGATTATTGAAGCACAGCTTTCCACCGACATAGACCATACATGAAACAACGGGAAAAAGAACATTCATATGTACGCTGGATTAAACTTTACCACAACTGCGGGTCACAGCCCATTTACTCTCGATACCCAACCACAGACCTATCACGAAGTAACACATACTCAAAACAATATTCAATTTTTTTAAATCACCACAGAACTTTCAAAAGAACCTCATCTGCCTACACGTCTTTTGTTGACAATATCTTCAATGTGAACCACTGTCTTCGCCACCCTCCAGTTTAAGCACTAATCCGCGCACGCTTACCGGAGTCGGTGCAGCAGCTTGCGACGACTCTCCCGGTGCATCTGTATCGTTTTGCATCTGTGTGAAATCAAAGCTGCCTCTAAACACGGGTTGGCCTATAGTGCTCGCTGGCGGGTGCTGCGCTGGTTGTGGGTGTGTTTGCGAAGTGTGTTCTGGATGTGTATCCGTCGTCGGAGTGCTATCCATATCCTCCCGCATGGCATTGAGGTCTAAGCTGCCCCGGAACGCAGCCACCCCAGGGAGAGATGTACTTCCCATCTGCGCTTGTGCCTGACTCTCAGATAAGCCCTGTTGTGGTGGTTGTTGTTGGTCTTGCTGATGTTGTTGTTGTTGTTGTTGCTGGTCTACCTGAGCCATATGTACCACCGGTAAGGCTTGCTGTTGACCGCCAAGCGTGGTGCCATGCGCGGCGGTGTACTCAGACTCTGATATGGGACCACTCTCACCCTGTATCTGCACTGGATCACTCCCTTGCGCATCGTCACGTTGCATGGCACTGAAATCGAAACTGCCCCTGAACACAGGAATGCCAGGTCTCGGCACCTGCTGTTTTAGGTATGCTGGAGTCTGCTCTGCCTGCTGAGGTAGAGGCGGAGATACTTCATTCTGGCCAGATACAGGCTGTTCTGAATGTGGCGCAGAGAAATCTGGCACCTGTGCGGTGTCCGGATGCCCCGGCATTGGCATGCCTTGCTGCTGCTGTGGGGTGACCTCTTGACGTGGTGTCTGCAGTGGCACAGGTGGTGCGGCTGATGGCATGGATGGTATCCCAGCCTGCACTGGCAAGAACATAGGAGGTGGGCCCATTGTCGCCCGTGTCTGCTGTTGTGGGAAGCCCTGCATACCCGGTTGTGCAGGTGCTTGTCCGTCAGCCTGTGCACCACTGTGAGTTCTATGGGTCTCTGTAGCCTGGGTCATGTAGCCAGAGTCAGAGTGTGTCGCACCCCCTTGTGTGCTTTCTGGCGCATTCTCGCCACTTTCCGGCTGCATGTTGTTGAAGTCGAAGCTCCCTCTGAACACCGGCACGCCTGATTGTGGCTGCCTTTCCGCTACTGTGGCATTCTCCTGTGGAGACTGCGCATCCGTATTTGCAAGCGATTGTTCGGATTGATTCCACGGTGGCTCGGCTTGTGTAGGCGGACGTGTGTGCGAGGCCATGGATGTTGGGGATGCGTGAGTCATAGTTGCTGGCGTTGGGTCATTTTGGATTGGCGGGGGCTGAGCACTGTCCACTGGATCATCTGGATGTATTGCATCGAAGTCGAAACTGCCCCGAAACACCGGTACCCCCGGGGCAGGGGTATTTGTACCAGGAATAGTGGCAGGGGGTTCGTTTGTCGGTGCTTGCTTTGCTGTGTTTGCTAACCCATGCGTCTGGCCATGAGCTGCTGCACATGCCTCAGATTCACCCACCGATGTCCTGTGTAACCACTCTTCCGGTTGTTGTTGTGATGGCCTATCGGCCTCTGGGGGTGTGTACACACCCTCTGCCTCTGCCGGTGTGGATTCTCGCGGTGTTTGTATGGGTGCTTGCGTCGGTGGAGCCCCAAACATCGGCGGTGGTGGTGGTATTGATGTGGCTGTATCTGGCGCATTATCCATTGATCCCGTGCTCATATACCTCTCGCCATCGACGCCTTGTGAGTTGATGTTGGTCTGTATTTGGCTGTCCGACACACCATCTCCCTGGAGTTGACTGAAGTCGAAACTACCTCTGAAGACAACTCCAGTGGTTGGTACGCTTGGCTGAACGGTTTGGGTCGTGGCGGGTTCCGACTGGACCTTGGCAGCGCCTGACTGCTTGGGGTTGGGTTGTAGTGGGAAGTTAGTATGTATGAGTAGTGTGAGCGTCAATTCGTTTACTTTGGACACATTGTATTTGAACATTAGTATGTGTAGTATGAACATCGACACATAAGTTTCAGTCGTTGGCCCTGGGTACGTTGTTTTGAAAGAAATTTTAAGTAGGAGTAGTATAGGAATCTACATGTATGTTTCAGTCGGTATGCGAATGTACATAGGCAACATATATGCACAAACAGTTCTCAGGTGTGTGCATGCAATTATATGTAATAATCTACACGGGACTGTACATTTGCACGAATTTACTCAGCTGTGCCAATATACTTTCCTGTTCAAGTGCAATATGCAATACAATACTGTTGTCTAAACTCATACAGACAAAAGAGATAGAAAGTGAAGCCATGATTCTTTGTCACTACACTCCCTAGTAGTGTGTACTACTACACCAATAGAATACCAGTATCCCTAGCAGTGAGGTATATGTACATAACATAGTGGTTAATGGAAGGTGCGGCACTATATACTTCTTAAAATTATGAGCTCTGCCACTCTCGAAGGTTCATATGCAAACAATGAAAGCCGTAGATGCATCCAGACTCAAAATGTTTAATACGTACATACACCAAGATCATACTGACCACGGACAAGTATGTGGTAACATTTGGACCTGCGACTGAGATTTTTCCCTGAGCGTGCGCTGATTCTATACGACAGTACGAAAAATTTGAACGCAATACAGATTTGTGTTCACCACCCCGCCAGTGACCAGTGTGTCAGTATGTCTACTGCAAAACAGATACGTACAGTACGAACGTTTAGCGCAACCACAATATACCAAACGCCCAGTCCCCATCCCCCTGCACGCCAGTCGAACTATACTCTCGCGCAATCGCAACATCACCTATACCACAGCATACACCGTTCTCACCTGAAATGACGCCGCCACATCGTGAGCTGGTTGCGGGGGTGCACTAAACACGGGCGGGGCACCAAATACCGGTGTAGGATTAAACATCGGTGGCGCCCCAAGTCTCGGGGTAGGTATACTCCCTGACCTCTGCACGGCTGTCGACGCACTACTGCCCGTTCTATTAAAAGCCTGTGCATCCTCTAGCCCATCTGCAGTAGATGACTGCATGCGAGAGGGCGTTTCATCAGTGTGTTGTCCTTCCGCTGTCGATTGACCTGAGTTGCTTTGAGGCTGTGACGGAGTGAATGTGGATACAGGAAGACCAGAACTCTTCCACACAGGCGGTGCTGCAGGGAATACGCTCTCAGAGTTAATCAGCGTCGTAGGCAAATATCCGGGCATAGTTTGTTGTAAATTATCTGAAGATGTTTGTGGCTGCGTGCTGTATTCTACCGGTGGTTGCGTTGGCGGGTGTGTGGGTGGGAAGGCCTGCGGCTCTACCTGGGTGTGCTGTAGTGCCGGCTGATATACTTGCTGCGTTCGATGTTGTTGTTGTTGTTGTTGTTGTTGTGTGGGTGCTACTACAGTATCTGAACGTGTTGGCAGGGTAGCTGTAGTGCTTGGTTTGATATCAGCTGGCACAGGTGTGCGGAACAACCCGTCTAGCGAGTCCGTGGAATCGTTGCGCTCCAATGGTCCAGTGGGTATGGTGGGAAACTTCGCTAGACCTTCTGAACTAATACTCGTACGTGTATCTATATTGCTATCTGTATCTACATCCTGGTTTACCGTACCGGTATTCAACGACATAATACCATCAGCGCCTCCTACAAGTGAGTTTCTGGTAGACCCACTTGGAGTTGTACTGGAGGGCTGCGTATCTCTCTGAAAGGACGAATGACTATTACCAGTCACACTCGCCTGCCTTTGTGTGTGCAATGGCTGTGTATGTACATATGCCTGCGACTGTGACAGTCGGGTGCCGTAACTACTTGCTCTACTGTCGGTGCTGTCCGTTCTCAAATGCTGTCCACCCGCCGCAGTGCGTGTGCTGGGCGCCACACCAAACAGTGAGTGTGTACCAGTATTGGTATGGGTATGAGGATTAATATTATTATTAATACCCGAATTAGATACCCGAGTGTTCGCAGTCGCATGGCTAGGCGTGTAGCTGCCAAACAAAGGCGGGGGTGCTTGGTTAGTTTTGGTCGATGAACTCACATTCGCGTTCATGCTCGAGTTTGAGGTAGACGCAGGACCAAAGAGAGATGCACCTGTCGGTGTAGGTATGCCACCATTGTTGTTCGGACGCGTATTTTGTGTATTGTTGCTTGTATGTACAGGGGGGTTGGACGGAAATAACGATGCAGATGTACTACTGGTCACTGGCGGCATATTGCTGTACAGTGATGGCTGCTGGGACGTACTTTTGCCTACGTTATGAGGAGTATTTGTAGGAAACAATACAGATTGTGTTTTATTTTTATTGTGCTGTGGTTGTGTATTAGTAGCTTGTGGAAACAAAGATGAGGTTGAGGTTGTGCTGCTGCTCTGCCTTGAGGTCGTTGGCGACCTCTGCTGCTTCTGCCATTCTTGCAGCTGGCTGGTGTTGAACATTATACACCATATATATATATATAAATATGTATTTTAATATGAGTGTAAGCTGGAATAGTATGTACACTCGCGACTTTTAATGTGTGTGAAAGGAGCTACTGTCATCACTAAAGAGATATACATACTGTATTTATACGCACATAGACTCATCCATCAAAACAATACATACATAGACACCAGTGATTGTTTATAGAAATGCCATAGATCTATTTCAAAAATAGGCCAAACTGTGAAGAAATAAGACTTCTGAGCGTATCGAAGCGACCAAATAAGTTTGTGTCTTATTTCCACCTATTTTGACCCCTCTAGTTCAAACCTGTTTCATAAGTACATAAATATATTGTAAATATTGTGTATATTGATTGCTTCCGCTGATAAGCTTCTACCACAGTGGACGTGTACCTTATGTCTGCAGGTAGAATACAACCATTCCAATATGGGAGGTGGACAATCGACACCCGTAGCTGAGATACTAGACGGCAGCTATGAGGGCTACCATGTTGTAAAGGTATGAATGCAATCTTCAGCGCTGGGTTGTTTACATCGCGTAGCAGCACTGTTCATTAAATCCTAGTCCTACTTTCTGTATGTATATCGAACTATACAGTCGGCAAACAGACTCATTGAACCCCATTACAAAGTCATTCATTGTTTTAATCGCTTTTTTTTACTAAAATAGCTGCACAATTATGTACAAGATGTCGAGTGTATAGTTAATATATATATATATATATATATATGTGTGTGTGTGTGTGTGTGTGTGTGTGTGTGTGTATCTATGTATCTATGTATGTATGAATATATAT